ATTTTGACCATCACAACATTGGCCAGCCAGGTAGGATATTTGACTTCTTTGATGAATCTGACATCGAGTAACTTCTCGACCTCGTCTTTTATGGCCTTCTTCTTCTTCTCCTCTCCATATTTCCTCTTCTTCTGAGATACCATCTTGGTATCCAGATTCAAGGCTAAATGGTGGCACATGAAGTTGGGGTATATCCCTGGCATATTCGAAGGCTTCCAAGCAAACAAGTCTAAGTTTTCTTTCAACAGCTCCACAATCTCTGTTTCTTCTTCTCGGGAAAGGTTGCACCCTATGTAAGTTATATCAGAGGGTGTGGTGCCGATCTTGACCCTCTTTGTTTCATCGTGGGGAGAAAGGATTTCTTCCCATGTATCATCTCGATGATTTATGTCAATCATGTTGATTTTCAGCTCATTGCATCGTTTGAGTTCTTTGGATTGTATGTTCTTCTTTTACTTCAGGCTATCCTTATAACATTTCCTATCCAATCCTTGATCACTTTTAACCACCCCAACCCAGCCATCCCCTAGGAGGTATTTCATAGTGAGGTACAGGGTGGATATAGCGGCTTCTAAGGCATTGAAAGAGGGCCTTCCTATGATGATGTTATAGGGTGAGACAACGTTGACGATCAAGTACCTTACTCTGACTATTTTAGAATTTGCGCCACTTTCAAAGGTAGTGAGTATCGGGGGTGTCCCAGTACTTCTACTTGTTCTTTGGAGAACCCGACCAAGGTACTGTTGAAAGTTAACATCTTAGACGTATCAAATTCTATTCCCTTAAAAGCTTCCCAATAGAGTACATCAACTGAGCTATTGGGGTCCACCAGCACCCTTCTCACACTCCAATCCCAGATTTGTACCTTGATGGCCACATGATCATTCTCGTGGGCCATAATGTCGATCACATCCCTCCTGGAGAAGCTAACCGGGTTGAGGTCCTATTCTCAGACCATGGCTATGTCCTCGGATACGTGCATCACGATGCAGACATACTTCTTTTTGGCCGAGCTGGTTTCACCGCCGCCAGCCAATCCTCCAGCGATGGTGTTAAGGGTGGGGAGAGTTGTCTTGGTCTCATGCACTTCTTCAATACCATTTCCCTTCTTTTGGGAAGGATCCTTTAGGTCCATGTCTTTTTGCCGAGTATCTCTCTTACCAACTGGGGTTTTTTCATCTTTGACACAAGTTAGGAAGTGCTCCCTCTGTACCAATTTCTCAATCTCTTTCTTTAGTTGGAGGCAATCATTAGTGTGATATCCCCGGATCCGGTGATAATTACACCAAGCCCCGACATCACTCCCCAGCACGACATTGACTTTCCATCTACGGGGCGCTTCTGGGATCAGGTATACGTGAGCTACCTCCTGCAAGATTTTGCCTCTCTTTGTGTTTAAGGGTGTCCCCATATCTCCTGAATCAAATGCACGTCAATTAGGTCTTTGAGTCGTGCGTTCCCGAGGCCTATCTCTTGAGGTCACCCGGGAAGACTCATGTTTCCTTCCTAATCCTTTTTCTTCGATATTATTTTTCTCTGGGGTGTCCCTGGACTGTTTTTCCAAATTTCTTTCCTCGCCCTTTATGTAGCAGTCTGCCCTGGTGATGATTTTGTTCATGTCAGATGCGGGCTTCTGGGTTAAGGATTCATTGAACTGTTCCGCTCGGAGGCCGTGTTCGAATGCTCCAACGAACAGTTCTTGGTTTGGATGAGATATTTTAAGGTCTCTTTGTTGAACCGAGCTAGGTATTCCCAGAGAAACTCTGCTTGTTGACAGAAAAGTGCTGGATTAACTTCTTTATCAAGTCCATGTAGCTTTCCACAGATAGTCGTGGCATGCTCATGTACCACCGCAGGGCCATGTTCTTGAAGGTTCTAGCCATCAATTTACATTTCAACGAGTCGGTGGGGCCAATTATCGCCATTTGGTTGTTGATGGAAATAACGTGCTCCTGAGGGTCACTTTTTCCGTCATATGCCATCAATGGTGGTGATTTGAAATTATCTAGGAGTTGGTCGTCCCAGATAGCTTAAGATAGAGGTTGAGGTTCCAGAATCTCCTCTTATGGACCGTCGTCCCCTACGTTTATTTGTTGTAGGTCTGTGATGATGTCCTGCAGAGTTTTGTTCTGCTGCCTGAGGACCTCCACCATGGCTAATAGCTGCACCATATCTTGGGGGTTTCCTGGTGACAACATTCTGCAGAAGTTGGATTGAGGTGTGGCCTAGGAATAATTTTACCAAGGCCCAACGATGGGCGCAAATGTTCTTGTGCAGAACAAATATCTGGATGACTTCTCAGGAGGTTGTTAGGGAGAGCCTACCATAGTGAGTTTGTAGGATGATTGCGGGATTTGGGAGCCACGACAGTGATGCCTATGTCCCAAGATGAATGTCTTGCTTATCCCTCATGTGGGATCCCCTTTATATAGTGTTTATCTTTGCGTCATCAAGAGCCTCAATTAATGAGTGACTCTTGAGGTCTATAACTCCCATAACCTCTGTCGTCCCCATGAATGGAGGAATTAAGGTTGTGTAACGCCATAATGATTGCGCCTCCGAAAGTTACAAGCATTAATGAGCTGAGATGGTGATCGGTCACGGGCAGGTGCTTCCCGGCTACCTACCTTATCTGGGTCGATGATGATGACGGGTTGTTACCCAAATCCAAGTGTCATATGATATTCCACTGACCGAGTTGCACCCCAGATACCCTCTCCCTGAGCCGACTACTTGTTTAGCCTTTATTCTTGCCTATTACACTACCCGATTGGGCCTATATAACAAATTTGGAATTCAATTTATCATAATCATTGTTGTTGAAAATCAGATGTCGGATCCTCGTTTCATTGAAATGTCAAGTAAGAGAAAATACTGGGTGCAATATATTCCAGATCCCTTTCGCATTTATTTGTTTCTGATTTAAAACAAGAAAATAGTTAGTTAAATGAATGAATATATGATTATAGAAGAACACTGTAAAAAATTGATTATTGAAGAACACAAACCTTAAACTCAATTTATTTTCTGATCTTGCAATTCATCGATTAGAAGTTTACCAATTTTTATGCGCTTCAAAGTTTTCATGTTATGGTTCATTAACAACTATTGATATTCAAAATTCTTTTATAACTGTCTGTTAGGTTTCATGTGAATCCCTAATGGAAGTGTCTTGAGCGTTGATACTCATGAAATGGATGACACATATTTATTTAAGGACGATGATAAATATCCTCAATAGTCACGCCTAAATTATTCCCTTAGTTTATATCAAAAAAACGAGGTAAAAGGTGTATACTTTTTTTTTAATATTACATGGTTTACATAGAATATTAAATTACATTAATACAATAAATACAATGGTATCATAGTAGTTGTTGTTCTTGGAGAACAACACATCTCTGCTCTAATCCAGATCATGTTGGATATATTTTTTGCTCATTATTTTAAAGTTCAATGGACTGCATGCAATCAACTTTTAAGGAGTTATCTGCTCTAAGTAAGGAGTTATCAGTTCTAAACATTGGAAATGTTTTTTATGCACTTGCAATCCATCATAAAAAACTTTTCCGAGTTTTTTTAAGTTCCAAAATTTCATTATCATAAGCAAATGTTATCAAGGCCAATGCTTTCACAAGAAAGATATACAGTGGTGGGTGTAGATACTTTATTGTGGATTGATGTCTTGGCAATATCTTGAGCATTGTTCTTTTAAGAATGAAGGGTAGAGATTCATTGTTGTAGCTGTGTAACATATTACCTTTGTTTTTTGAAAAAATCAAGGAGAAACGTATTTTCTATTTTAAACAGAAAAATTAAATAAAATAAGAAAGCCCCTCTGTTTTAGAATACAATCGAGGTGTATAATATCTTATTTTTTAAAAATATTACATTGTTTACACAAAATATTAAAAAAATCCAGATTTATCATCATTGTCGCAAAATTTTAGATTTTGTTGCATATAGCTTTTCAAAGGTTGAACATCCTTATTTGTTTAACCTGGAAACAAAAATATTTTTTAGCACTTGCAATCTATCATAGGAAAAGTTTCCAACATTCTTTAACAGAGAGTTGTTCCAAAAATACAACATCAACACCATTATGTGAGATAGATTGCAAGGGAAGAAAAATGTTTTGTTCAAGGATAAAAGAACATTAAATACTTTTTGTCTTACAATTCATCCCAAAAAATGATGTGTACTAGTTTGGGATAACTTCATAAACGTAAGGATTAGAGTTAAATTTGTTTAACGAGTGCTTTTATAGTAAAATCTGATTATGTTATCCCTCACTTTTTAACGAAACCGAAGTGATAGATCATTTAGTATTTACTTATAAACAAATAAAAAAATTAAACCTGCTTTATTTTTTCCCTCAGTATTATTAAAAATCGAGACAATATGTTATTTTTATTTTGATAAAAAATGAAACCTGGAGTGCCTTTACATAATACTTCGGTGTCATAATCCAAATTTGTCCGTCTTAGTGCTATGTGAAATTATTTTCAAACTTAGATTTTAAAATTATTTTTAGGTTTATTCACACTAACCTTTTGGGTTTTATAAATATCTATTTTTAAGTCTATTTAAAAATATAATAGTTTACTTTTAAATTATATGTATTTTAAAATAGCAAATATCTACTAATCTTTTATATACTTTCAATTGAATTTTTTATTTCAAATGAATAATAATACAATTGTTAAAGAGTAAGACTTGCAAATATGAGGTCAAGGATTGGTTCATTCTGGATCATAATTTTTGGTGTCACAGATCCATCACCGTTAACAACTCCAACTGAGTTTCACTATACTCAAAGTCCCAACCGATCACCATAAGCAGTGTCTCCAACAACAACTACAGTGCTTCTCCGACCGTTAAAGTAACAACACCATTCAACAACAAAAGCTGAAACATTTTTTTTTTAACACCATTGCAATTTGAGTCTTTTGCAGATCAAACAAAATGAAGGCGGAGCAGATTCAAAACCGATGTCGTCGATGACCAACACAACCACCGTAACTGTACCCATAGTCGGCAGACCTGAAGCCGCGTCTGAGCCACCCCTCTTCAACAGTCGTCTTCATCCGCTCCAATACCACAAATGCAACCATCACGCAGAACACATCTCAAATCCACCACACCGAATCACATCAAACGGATCTGTGAAAATCACGCTCCACCAACTTCCACACACGACCAGACCTCTATCTCTTATTCCCTTATCCGGCAATGCAACACCTACTATTTTGGTAATGCTTTTTCTTTCATTTTTCTGTTTGATTTTTGTTTGAGTTTTTGTATTTATTGGATTGAGACTGAAAATAAAAATGGTGGTTTATGAGAAGAAGAAGATTAACATGGTGAGAGAAAGAGAAGTTGAGAAAATATAACCTGCTTTCTCTCTCTTTGTATTAGTTGTCATTTAATTTATTTTTATTTTAACAAATAATTTGACATGTGTCATTGTACTATTGGTCGCGAGACTAATTTTGGAATTTGAAACGAAAGAGAGAATCACATGAACGTTATTGTCTTGTTCCTATTTTCTTTTATTTTAACGATGACATTTTGTTATGTTTTAATTTAAGATTAATATGTTGTTTGTTAAATTTGAAAAAAAATCAACAAATTCTTCCTCATCAAGTTGAGCGGCAACACCTATGCTCCCATGATACTGTATTTTGTTTTTGTTGTTAATTATTATTATTCTTTTAGTTTAATTAGGGTTATGTTATTTGGATTGGGCCTCTACTATTTTACCAGGTTTGCACCCCCATATTCTTTTGTATATTTATTTTGATGACTATTTCTATTTTTGTTCTTCTATTTAAAATTTTCGTACTTATTTATTCAAGACTTTCTAACTAATCTAATTTATTTTAGTATTAATATTGTCTTAACTTTTCCTAAATCATACATCTAAAATAACAAAAATAATTAATTCAATATTTTACAAATATATTAAAAATCACGTAATTCACCAATGAGTGACACGTGGCCAATATCTGGTCACGTGATGAGGAAGACTTTATTAGACTCTCTCCATATCCTTTATGACGATCGACACGTGGCCAATATTTTGCTACGTTATGAGGAGACTTTATCAGACTCCCCCCCCCCCCCTCCTCTCATCCCGCTTTGTGTCCTATCATACTCTTTAATCAAATCGAAATTCAAAACAACTAACCAACAATCAAAAACCAATTTTCTACTGACATAACAAAAACTACAAGATTATTTTCGAAAAAGGATTAAGGAGAATTACTTTCAAAATTAACTGTGAACTGCGTCTATGATCACTCATTTTTTAAACCCAGACAAGGCTCAAGGATAAATTCGAAAGCAACTCTATGCAATCCTATAAAAAATACCAACCAAACACTACGACTACAAATTGAGACTCTGATTCCTCATAACAGGATACATAGGCACGCGGCTTAAAAACCAAGGTGAGTTCCCCTAACTAAAAAATTAAAATCCTATTCATAAACCTTAAACGTAAACCCTAGTATCCTTATGAACAAGGTAGATGAAGGGTGCCTAACACATTCTCTTCATCTAAAGTGAGTCAAGAACTTAGAATCTCTGTATCATCTATTAGGGTTATTTCGTTATATATCCGTCTTAGGATAAAAATTAATGGTGGCGACTCTATATATTTTACCGATTATTACACTCAGGTTTTTTCTGGTTGAGGTGAAAACTTCGTCATGAAATATATTATTTATAGTAGTATAAGTTTTTAATTCAAGTGAATGATTAATTGAGGTTCATTTCATCTAATTCACATGATCACATAGTTATGTCAAAACAATTCCTTTTTTTGCCAAAAAAATAAGTGAACAAGACAATTTTGAATTTGTGATACAATTTGAATTTCAAGTTTCATTTGTCACCAATTCAAATAAAGAGTAAATGAACAATGCAAGACTTAAATTAGTAAAATGTGAATCTCATATTTTCATTTATAAACTCGCATGCCTTTAACATATATTGGTTTGCATCATCATCATTATGAAGGTTTGACTTTTGATTTCACATTACATCATCACCATTAAAATTAAAAGTAAACAACAATGAAATAATACAAATTGAGGTTTGCATTCCCTTTTCCAAACTATGTATTTGCCACAGTTCTACTGACCTAATTTCCTAAATTCAATTGACAAAATAAACAAACTAAAAATGAACAAAATTGCATCAGTAGATGTGGAGAAGCAGTAGCAGCAGACCAAAAACATATTTTCAGAGTTTTGTCTTATAGCAATTCATTCTTATCCATTCATTCTTTGGTTTGTCTTGTAGTGTTTCATTCTTACCCATTTATTATTTTCAGCTTCACCCTACTTTCTTCTCAAAACTCTGCCACATCAGCAACAACACTAAAGTTGAGAGCTCATACCAGCATGTTCTTGATCAAGGTATGATGGATGGTGGTCCAGAATTCCTGTCATGATATAACTCATCTCCAACACTGATTCTGCACAAGCACAAAAACACATAAAATTGACAAAATAGAGCACCTAGTGTTCTTTATCCTAAATTAACTAAAGTAACATAAAACATAAATAAATGAAAATAGTAAAGATATGAATTACCCTAAAGTTAAAGTATAAAAGGCTTAAATATCTCACATAAAGTGAGTTATCACAACCCCAAACTTGAATCATTGCATGTCCTTAGGTTATGCGACTAATAACATCAGGAGGAAATAACAACTACACAAAAATCTTTAAGCCAACAACACATTTCTTACAACAAGAATTTTCGCAGAGGACTATATCTAAACATTGACACAACTCAGTCTTGCTGCCAATCATAAAGTGTGTGTGTGTGTGTGCGTGTGTGTTTATTGTGTACTAATTTATGTTACTTGTCATGCCAATACTCTTCAGTTAAGATATCTAGCCTAGATTCAACTTTAATTTATGTTACTTAGGGTTACACATGCATTTATTATTGATAAGTTTTGCTAGATGCTCCATCTTTTTCACCTAGCGAGATCTCACTTGTAATGAGTCCAACCTATTACTAATGGTGAAGACATTCATTGTTCCTCGAGTTGCAAGCACATGAACTCGTTCCTCCAGTTTTGGGCACATGAACTTATTTGAAGTGTTATTTGGCTTATTTCATTTGTTTGTACACACTTTTCTGTGCATATATGCAGTGCATCCTTTGTGCAAGTCTTAAACAATAATATTATCCTCCCCTAAACTAAATCCTACCATGAATCCATATTCCATATTTGAAAAAAATTCAAATTTATCAAAAGTATATCTACTTTTCTGACTGCTAGAGGTATAACAGGGGTTATCAGAAAACACAATAAGGTGCATTGATCAACTATCAATACCTTGTTTCTAATATTGTCAATAATCCAACAAAAAATCTTCTGAGATATTTTTGAAATTCAACTATTTCAAGACTTGGTTTATCATTATTTCTCTTTTTTTCTTTTCTTTATTTAACTAAATCTAACACACAATTTTTTTTAATTAATTCAAAGGGAGCTAAAATAAAACAGCAGCAAAAAGGTGTCACACCCCCAAACTTAAAACAATAAGAGTTTCCTCACTGTTAGCATGGCAGGTTAAGGCACGAAAGAACAAGACAATAACTAAGAACATAAAATTAAAATTAAGCATGCAATGGTTGGTAGGTTAAGTGAGAAATACCTGCCAGGCTACAAGCCTGATGGTTTTCCTAATTCCAGATCATTGGGACTTTTTTTTCTTCCATAATTTCTCTACTTCTTTCATCCAACTTTGTTCAACCTCAGGAGGCATGACAGATGTCGCCTCCTGGACAACAACATCCTTTAAGTTCAACTTCTTTTTCTTTAGTTTTAGGGAGGAAAGAAAGGCCTTCCCATGCTCATTCTTCAGAACACAATGTACTGAAATCTTCAGAAATTACATAAGTGGAATCTTCTGTATAGGTTTCATGTTAGAGGTCATCTCCATCACTTCATACTTTCTCAACCAAATTCCATCGAGTGGCTTTGATGGAGGCCTTCTTATGACACCTTCCTTTTTGATCTCTTCATCTTTCATGAACATAAACTTCCCAAATAACTAATCTTCCTTAGTTTTCTTTATACTTTAAGGGAATGGTGGAGGTGGTATTTCTTGAACAAAAATCTTGATGCCCTAGATTCTGGCATGTGAGATGTTATCTCTACAACTACAGGTGACGTGACAAAAGACTTCACCTTCTGCATATTTAGATTTGATAAATCAGCAAATTGTGTGACAGTAATGGGTTGTTTTATTTCAGCTTCTAGAGTGTCTTCTTCTGACACATCTGTTGGCTTTGGCTCATCATACTCCCATGATCTTAGAGTAGTAGTGATTTACCCTATTTGGATCTCCAAATGTTTTATACTCTCCTCTTGAGCTTGAAATTGTGACTTTGTTTCTTGCATGAAAGTTATCAAATTAGACTCTAGCTGGTTGGTTGCATTAATTATCAGACTTTCATTAGGAATATAACTAGGGGTGATTCATCCATTCTCCTTAAGAAAAATCAGTGTCACATGTCATGACATTTAATGGTGTAGTAATTGTCACGACATGTGTCATCATAAGGGACTTCAACATATTGTGTATTTAAGCCACTTTTTAAATATCTCTCAACATTAACAAGTTGTTATCTACTTCTAAACTAGACAGACAAATAAATAAACATATGACATAAATTCACATGAACAAAATATAACAAGAAAAATCATTCAAACATAGAAAAGATTATTAATTCATTAAACTTCACATTATCCAACAAAAATTTTTTAGCTCATAATGAGTAAAATAAGAACAACACGGAGAGATCTTAAGCTAGACATTCCTAAGCAAGAATATAGAAATGATAACCTAAGGATAACACTTTAATCACTCGCAATTTGTGAATCAGTAAGTGACGTATTATGTCGCGCCTTCCCTCGACTCTCCATTTTTATTTATTGCACTTATGTAGAATTTTCCAAGTTTCAGAACATTTTTCTTCATTGCATTGCAGCTCTATTTATAGAGTTTTCTCAACTGCATATTGTCTCTCTTTGGTTCTTGGCCTTTACAATGATCCATTAACCTAAGCCCAAAGAATAAAGAATATTCCTTTGTTTTGTATTATGATAGTATAGTGCACATAGGAGACAACATGACACTGTGGCAGAATTGCAACAGCAGCAGTAGTGCAGGAGCAGTAGTGCAGGCCATATGTGTGAATACATAGTGAGGCAAAGTCAATGCGCACATATGGAAGCCAAAAGAGTCAAGTCAATCAAATTAAAACAATTGGTTGTATGTCATTGGCTGAAGAACGACACGTAGGTCATCTTCCACCTCCAGCCACCTGCAACTAGGCAAGTATGAGATTATTCAAACGGAAACGTTAGAATCTCATAGCGGTATCATCGGATTTGCCTCATCCAGATGATCCTAATCATACCCTTGCAAAAAATTTATTTAAAACATAGCTCAATCGATTTGAAAAAAACCCAGAAGAAAAAGTGAAAATGAGTTTTGAAAATGATACTCAATTCTCAATGAAAACGAAAACCAAAAGAAGTATGAGACTCAGAGGAAGAAGGACTATAGCTTAACAACTTGTTTGGATCAATTTGGTTGAGAAAACTACCTGAACGGAGTTCAAATTATAAGCTCTCAAACCGAACTTATGTAGTATGAATTAGGGCTCGATTTGCTTGGTTTTTGTGATGGAGAGTTTGTATAATGATTGAGAATGAAGATTCTGAAAAGAGTTTGGAGAAAGGAAACTTGGAATAATGAAATTGATTTTCAAATTTCAAGCTTCGAATGAGAGTTTGGCAGGGTTATTTATGTTGTCTAAAGCTTGGGAAATGAATGGACAATGGTCTTCTATTTATAGGAGAATGAATGAAGAGCTTAAACGTGTGAAATGATAAAGTTTGGAGGGAAGTCGTCTGAAGCTCGAAGGCATGAGAAGTATGACTCCGACTTGCTCAAAACTCATCCAATTCTTGCATTTCAACGCTCTAATAATTCTTTGCAACTTTGTTAATCATGTTTAAGTTAAAAACGTGGAGCATTTGATCATTAGAAGCCACATTATTCAAATTTGAAAATGACTTGGTGAGAAAATCTCAATTTCAAGGTGCCCTATTTGAATCCATGGTGCAAACAGCTCCAGAGGCTTTATGGCTTCATTCTTGATGCATTTGAAAAAAAACATCACACTCTTCACAATGTGCCAAGAAAGGTGGAATTTGGATGCTTGAGCTGAGAGATATGTTCATTTGATTTTAGGAAAAACACATGAATCCTTATACTTAGAAATATTTCTGAGTATGGGCTTCAAAATGACCTATAATGTTTTGCAAGCTTACAAACCCTTCCACTCAAAATTAGATCTTGATTCTCCCAGGTTAAATGGAATAGACTCATCCAATTAAATTGTGAAATTGAGATCACTAAAAAATAATAAAATTTGAAAGAGTTATGTCCTTTGCAAGATGGGGAAATTTTCTTGAGGAATCCATAAATGACCTATAATCTTTTCAAATCTTTAAGGGATTTCCAAACATTTTCAAACCTTTCACTTTGAAACAAAGTTGTAGTAGACAATCATAAGTTCATTGTGAAAAAAGAATGAGCTTAAGGAGGTAAAAATTGACCAAGTTATGGTCCTTTGAAGTCACTTTAGAGAATTCAAGATCTTTTTTAAAGGACTTGTAATCTTCTTCCAGTTTAAATAATCCTCCACTCAAAATTGTCCTTAGGTCCTTGAAGGAGAAGTTGTTAAGGACTCTTTAAAAAGAATCATGATTTTGGAATCACTTCAAAATCTCAAAAATTGAGCGAGATATGGTCTTTGGAAGTCAACAAACTCTTACTTAGAAAGTACAAAAGTGACTTGTAACCCCTTTCGACTTTTGATGATTTTCCTTTCACAATTGGATCTTGTCATGTGAAGATAAGTTGTTGTAAATGATGATGAGAATCCATAGTAAAAAGAACCACTTCAAATTATTTAAAATTGATAGAGTTATGCACTTGTGATTGCTGAACCAAGGACTTGTACAAATTAGGTCAAACTACTTGAATCAACTTTGCATCTTTTAAACTTTCCTTGCATACTAAGGCATGATGAATCACATTAGACCTTGCAATGATGTTACTTTGAAGCACACTTAATGATGTATCTTAAATCCCAATGAAACTTGTTAAAGAAGGCATGGAAATAAACACATGAACCTATGAATCTTCTTGATGAACCCAACTACTCTCTTTGAGATAAGTTTGATCTATGAAGTTAAGAATATTGTTTAGACCAAAGAAATTTAATTCCATGACCATAGCCTTGAACTTTATGCTTTTGAAATCCATTGAATAATCATTTGACTTGGTATCAACATTCAAAACCCTAGGTTAGATGGTGAGATGGATGTAACTGTGTGAACACCTACAATATAAA